AAAAAAAGGGCAAAGCATTTTCCTCAGTTATTAAAGCGTTATCTTTATTTGTGTATCATAGGTTTGTCATACATCAAAGCTTTGAATGGGCAAGTGAAGCCTTGTACTCGAGCTCTGCTCCAGCTGGAGAACACGGTTCCCCATCCCAAAAGCGTGCAAAGAAATCAGGCAGTTCCTTGCAGCAGGAATGTCAGGATTCAGTTGCAATGAGTTCTTCACAGATTTTAAGGCCCAGAATGCTCGGAATTCCTGCAGTGGCACAGCCATCAGTATTCTCCGGTGCTACAAGAAACGAGAAGATGAAGAGATGATCGTCAATGAGATCCCTGCGTCCAGCCAGGAAAAAAAACACCTCAATCCCCTGCTCAAGGCTCCTGTCGGTCCCAAAACTGTGCCAAACATTTGTGGTGCAGCTGAATGGGGGGGAAATGCCTGACCAGCTCAAAGGTACCGCGTGGACTGAGAGGACAGGAAGGTTTGAGGGGCAGGTTATGCACAGCACCAGGAGCAGAGTGTTCTGATTGTAACTCACGTGCAGTGGCTACGAGCTGGTAGAGGGGCAGCCCCGTGCAGAGCTGCTCGATGTGCTTGCCATAGAGGATCCAGTCCTTCCAACGCCCCAGCACAGAATTGCCAGACTGAAACTGGGTCCACACGTTATTTGGAGAGTAAACGTCCCTCATCATCTGAAAAGGAGAGGTTACACAGCATCAGTGCTGTAGCTTTGGTTTCCCAAACTTAAAATCACCTTCCTTTGCCTCACAAAAAAACATTAGCTAAAGAAGCTCCATGCCTTTAAAGAGAAATAAACATTTTCAGTCTACTCAGAAACAAAATTCACTAGATACTAATTCTGCCAACACAGCAAACCTGAGCCGTATTTCTGCCTTATTAAATTATGTTAATTGGCAGTAAATTTTGCTGTAAATGTGCTACTGCTGGGCTGGCACAAAATGGGCCAGAACTCCGGGTCATCTCCAAGAAATACTTCCAGTCACCTTCTGAAACCTCAGCCTGAATAGGGAAGTCAAAGTCTACTCAAAGTAAATTGATCTCTAAGCTCTGTTCTGCAAAAAAAAAAAAAAAAAAAATTCAAGCTATGTCGAGCTCAAAATATCAGCAGGGCAATGAATAAAGGGCAAGTCTGCCCAGACTTACGTTGTGATCACCTCAAAATAGTCAAATTACATCAGTTTCGAGCAGTGGGGATCGTACAGTTCGAGACACCCTGACAAACTGCTTTGAAACTGCAGGGGGGCCGTGACTGTTCGGTATCCCAGGAAAACGTTCTACATGATATTCCCTGGAAGTTCTGTCTTGTCGGATCAGCTCCATCATGGCTAAGACAGCAACAGAGCAACTGCTTTTGGAGGCAGAGTGTGGGTGCTCCCATCACACCCCACCTGCCCTCCTTGTGGACAGTGAGGGGTTCACTACGAGCTCACCTGCCTCTCGAAAGCCAGCCGGCCGATCTCTCGCAGCTCTGGGATGTATTCCTTCTGGATTTTCATGATAAAGCAGGCATTTCGGGAGAACAGCCTGGTGGCAATATACCCCTTAGGCCAAAAGAAGGAAGGTTAAATATTTAATTAAAAATGGCTGACACTGATGTTCATTGATGGTCTCCACTCCAATCCAGAAGAAACCCCGAGTGGCCACACAGGCTGCTGCTGTGGAACGACCCTGCATTTCCATTGTCCCCTTTGGTAAATGGAAGCCTGTCCCAGTGGCTGTTTGTAAGATTGGAAGCATCATTTCTGGCAGACTTCGCTGCACCTGAGTGCTGGTGGCCCATCCTTTGCTCTCCCCTCACTGTCATGAATTGCCACCACAGGATTCATTTACAAGTCTGTTAAACTGACCCATCGTATGGGTGAGACAAGGAGATGGTTTAAGAGGGGGAAGGTGATGGGAGGGTTAAAAGAAACTGGTTTCAGGGCAGCACGTGGCAAAAACACAACAAAATAATTTCTGAGTTTAAAAACTTCCTGAGAGGTGAGGTGGGAGGTCGATTCCTGTCTTTACTCACGTGGGAGTAGTCGAAGATGGTATCAGAGGAGTAGACGCCGGAGCGGATGTGGACGTCGACGACGTGCTCCTCGCTGTGGATGGTCATGGTCCCGGTCACATAGTTACTGCCAGGCTGTCGCAGCACAAAGGTCTGTGGCAGAAAGCACAGTCACTGATTGTCACCTGGCTTCATCTTCAGCAGGTGCAACAAACCCCAGTTGGCTTTAGGTAAACACTAAATCCCCTCACGACCCTCGGGCAGTCTCAGGAGGCTCCCAAGGTGGAGATCAGCTGTGCAACGGGCCCTCCTGCAGGCTGAGGAAAACCACAGTGGGACATCCCAGTCATCTGGGACTGTCAGGAGACTGCAGCAGTTTCTAAATTTCAGCTGAGCCAAGGGGGGACCTGTGTCACCCAGATTTCCTGTTACTCTGCATCCACACACAACCACCTCTTTGCCTTGACTGTCACCTCTGACAACAGCTCTTCTTCTTTGGCAGTAACCAACTTGTTAGTACCTTCTGTGCTTTTCTAGCTGCTCTATTCCCCCTGCCCAGGGATCCAACACATTTTAAATGAGCACATTCAGGAGAAGGCTCATCATCTACTTACGTCCAGTGCAGAAGTCTGAGCCCAGAAGACTCCCAGCAAAACGAGGACTGAAGCCTGTAAAAGGAATCAGCATCTCACTCAGCAAAACACCAGGCAGTGACTTCAAAGCACTATGAACTGAGGGCAGCAGCTGTAGCATCAGTTTGAAAAATGACCCATTTAACATGTGCATTAACTGAAAGCAATTACAATTCTCCATTGCAAACTTCTCGTTTATTTGGGTCTCTTTTGCCTGTAACTGAAAAAGCAGAATAACTTAACCACCAATTTTTTTTGTATTCTCAGAAGTCCCTCCTTGATGCCTTGTTACTTCTTGATTTGCCTCTACAACTGCAGTTATTAAAACACACCAAAAAAAAAAAACCCTTGTGAATGGCAGTCAGTTCTTCACTCTTTGCTCAAGTGATGCTGCAACCGACTGCACTGACCCAAGGAATGCAGGTTTCTTACTGAACCACCAAAGAAACAGCACGTTGTACCCTGTGCTGTGCCACTTACTTGGGCATCTTCTCCTCTGTCCTTTTGTTTCTAAGAAATAGGAGCTCAGAGTATTAAAAGTTCAACAGAAATGGGGATACTCACAAGTCTCTTCATTTTTCTTTTGGATGAGAACAAGACGCAGCAGAAGGTAAAACGTGGGGAAATCCCAGAGACCTTCAACTTTTATATCTTGCTGGAGGTGTGGGAAACACTTGACAGAACTTTCCTTCATGACTCGAACAAGTCCATATCTACATGTCGTAAGCCTCCTATCTGAATTTTGGGTTGGCACAGATAACCTGACCCTGATATATTTAAAGCACTCAGTAAGACTCAGTAAATCAATCACTCTACAAATGGCTATTATTTACTGGTTGAAACTTTAGAGGAGTTCCCAGCCTTGCTGGTTCTATTTTTTTTTAAATGTTTAACAGGATATTATCCAGAATTAAATGTCATTGGGAATAACTCTGCTATTCATTTGTACAAACTGCATTTTGTCTTCTGGAATACAATCCCCAAGAGCCCGATTGATGGTCTGCAGACAAACCCTGGAAAGAAACACTTGTGTCATGGTGGCCTCCACACCAGCCACCCAACAGGACAATCCCTCAGCCAATTCTTTCATCTCCTCTATTGGGTGGAGCCTTGAGCAACCTGCTCCAGTGAGTGGCATCCCTGCCCATGGCAGGGGGTTGGAACTGGATGACCCCAAAGTCCCTTCCAATCCCAACCATTGTGGGATCCCATGATTCTCTTCTCTGTGCTTGGACTCCTACAAAAAGTTCTGCTCACTTTTGATCAGTTCCCCTGATGGGCAGACCACCTGCACTGAAATTAGTGACAGAGTTAGGAACAGCAGCTTTGCTTCCCAGGACAACCTGGGTGACTTTTGGCCTCCTCAGCGTTCAAAGGCGTGATGGGAAAATCCAGAGGCTGCCTGGTTTCAACCCAAGGTCACAGAACCAAAAGGAGCAGGATGGGGATTCCCCCTTTAGAGGTGCTACTGATTGCTGTGTTTTATGAAAATCCAATGACCACAGGGCTTTGCCATGAGAAGTGTTCTCTGGTGGCTGCGACCTTGCCCAGGCTCCTCCTCATCCACAACTCCACCCCAGCCAGCGCTGGGACCTGGATGAATCACACTCTGCTTTCTACTAAAAGGTCGTAATCGAGGCCGGTTCCCTCCAAATAAAACAAGAGCTCAAACTAACAGCAAACACATTTCTGTAATCTCCGTTATCGGGGGAAAAAAAAGTGAAGGAGATTGTACAGAAATCTCTCTCAGCAAACAGGCCTCAATGGGAAAGAAGAAAAACCAAACAACAAAAAAAAAGGAAATTGTACACATTTGCTTTATGCCACCTAAGTCCACACAAGAAAAGGTTATCTCCAGTGTAACAAAGCTGTGCTGCTAAGCAATGTATCAGAAAGCACATAAACAGATATCAAATTGTGATAAGCACAGTTAGACTAATCAGGTTGAAGTTGCTCTCCTCTTAAGAGCTGGCCCTGGCCCTTCTTCTCAAAAGATTCTTTGTTTCTAAGATTCCAGTTATGTCAGAAATACTCAGTGTAGATTTCAGCAGTCAAATAAGCCTTTCACAGCAGGAATATAACAGGGTCAGGCACCACAAGTTAAAACAAAAAGCTTTAATAAGTTCTAAATGCATTAAACGGAAAGTTGAATTTAATTTTCCATTACTTTTGGGGAGGGAGGGGGGGGTGTCCATTTCATTTTCCATGCCTTTATATAGTAATTTCTTCTGAAAAACACCCAGGAAACATGAGCTCCTACTTTCCTAAGCATCGATGTGCTTAGACACAGGTAAGGGCAGAGTGACCTGGGAGATCCACAGTTACTCAATTCAGAAATAGCCACAATGTCACAATTTTCACCTTCCACTGGACTGACTGAATTCTGTTGATCCCATCAGACAAAGACAAAAAGATTGATTTCTGAAAAGCATTTGACTAATTAGCACGATTGCAAGAGAGAACCCAGTGCAGGTTGGTTGTCTCAGGCAAAGCCTGTCTATATTCCCACAGGAAATCCTTGCTTTTTGGAGGCTTTTCCCCCCCCAGTTTATCACACATCTCCCAGGAACGTACCTGAAATCAGCACACATCAGTCACAGCAACAGGATATGCTGAGCTGGGAGGGACCCACAAAGACCATCAGTCCAACCCTCAGCCCTGCACAGACCCAGCCCCAAGAGCATCATCCAACCCCTCCTGCAGCTCTGGCAGCCTTGGGGCTGTGCCCACTGCCCTGGGGAGCCTGTTCAGTGCCAACCACCCTCTGGGGGAAGAACCTTTCCCTGAGATCCACCCTGAGCCTGCCCTGACACAGCTCCAGCCATTCCCTGGGGGCTGTCCCTGCTCCCCCCAGAGCAGAGCTCAGTCCTGCCCCTCCTCTGCCTCTCAATGCTTTCTGTGCTTAAATTTGACTGCAATGTAAAACAGGAGCCACAAAGTCTCATCTCCAGCCTCCCCTTGCTTGGCCACCTCCTCTGAGCAGGGGGAATTCATGCCTGTCTTGTGCAGCACGAGTTTGTTCAAGTGCAAGTCTCCCCAGGCAGATTCTCCCACCCCAGGAATGTCCACTTGGCCTCAGGAAGTATTTTTTTTGTGTGTATTCAAGCAGCCTTGGAGAGAACTTTGGCCTTCCAGTGGCACCATCACAGGGTTAAATGCAATTTAGGGCCAGGGATGGTGTTGTCAGAGGGCTGCACAAGGAGCACAGATTCAGGAACTCGCTCAGCTTCCCCCTCTGCTCCCGTTCCTGGCACTGTGCTGTGGTTTCTCCTGTGTGGGGAACAGGAACTGGGCCACCCCCAGCGTGGTGGTTCAGGGCAGGGGTGGGTTGAGGAGGCAAAATGAAGGGGAAATAAAGGCTGTTCCCATTGGAATTCCCATGATTGTAAGCACAGGGGAGGGAAAGGGATGTGACACCTCGACTGCTCTCACTGATCACTTGTTTCTGGGTGAGCAGCAGAGTTTCCAAGGAATTGGGTACGAGCAGGAGCTATCCAGGCAGCCTCTGGGAGTGCATTAGCAGTGATCTACCACATTCCAGCAGTGCAAGTCAGGATGAGCATCTGAACAGTGTGCCAGAGTTTGTTGTTATTGTTATTGTTATTTCTATTATTATTATTATTATTATTATTATTATTATTATTATTATTTAGGGGTCTCTTTTCACCACTTACTACCAGAGTATGTGTGGAGACAGTACCCAGCATATGTCAGTTTAACTAAAAGCAGTTATTTTAATTCATGGCCCTTTCTCCAGCAGTCAGCAGGATGCCTTATTCA